ACAGCTAGCTGGCCGTTGCGACGGCGGCACCGAGGCTCTCGGCTGTGGCATCAGGCCCTCGCCTTCGCTTCATCCGTTCAGTTGTTCGTCTTTGGTAATTGATGCTCAACTTTGGTTTGAGAGTTTATCACTGGGTAAGAAGATGAATTGGAAGGGTGAAACGGATCCCCTGATTAAAGGCACTGCTTAATGAAAGAAAATAAATGGAGAGGGAAAATGACCATTCTGGAAGGAAGAGAAGTATAATTTTAACCTCGGAGGAGACCTAGTGCTGCCCTTCCATGACTTCCACCCATACCACACTGAAAGCATGGTTCAGTTCAAAGTTGTTAATATTCAGCTGGGAAACAGTATCCAGAACACAAATAAATTATTAAGTGCATGAACTTTTTCGGCAGTAAGATGAACTGATGGGGTCCATCTGCGAGATCCAGGGGCTTTTTATTTGTGTGTGTCGAACGATTCTGCCCTCTCCGACTTCATAGCCTTTGGTCCCTGGCCAAGTGCATGCATAATTGATTCCACACGCGCTATCATTTTCTTGATGTAATTGCTTTAGTAAGATATGATGAAATCTAATGGATAATTTACTATATGAAAATGACAAAAAAGTAAATGTTCGTGTTTTGCGCCAGGCGCGGGGAGGAGAGCGCCCAGGTTACCTACACGGTGAAGGAAAACCCGCTTGTACCATCTCCCACGGGCAAAAATGGGGGTAAATCGCTGGAGGAGGTCAGAGCAAACTCTCTGTAATTAATGGGAGTTTTACAACACAGGTGAAAGCGAAACACTCACGTTGTTTGGAAACGTTGTTTATTTTTTCTTGAGCGATGCCGTATTTGCTTTTCTAATTGCCAAAATGCAGACTCAGAAAAAAAAGTTCTCTGCACAAGGCAAGGAGCAGTATTTTTAGAAATAAATGTGTCCTGGACTTGCTGACCTGTGCTACAGATAGTACTCACACTGATGCCTTGCCTGGCAAAAAGGCCTTCTATTCTAGCTGCTTAAATAATGCACCAGATTAAATTCAATGCATCGGTTTGGCTGGATGTATTTTTAGATAGTTCAGAAGTGTATAAATATCAAATCCACATATAATTCCATACACATCCAAAGGAAAATATTCCACTTCAAAATTTGACATTACATTGGTCTTTAAGAAATGATTTGTTAATCTCATTTCCTTTTCCCCCTGCTTCCCAGTCCTGGAATATTGTATATTCCTTTCTGTAATTTTTTTAAATAGCTGTTTGAGGTAACGTATAGACACAAAAACATTTTCTCATTTGCTTCCCCCCCCCCCGTGCTGTTTTCAATGTACTAAAAGAGGAAAAAATATCCAAGGCAAACCCACGTAACTGTAGCAAACTGTTTCTGAGCAAGTCATAATAATGAACAACACATGATCTGAAATGTGATCAGCAAACATATACTTATGCCAAGGAATTTTTGCCATTCACATACCGAGGTTCTGTAAATCAGCAAACCGCGGCGGAGGAGCCCCCGGCACGGCGAGGGGAGGAGCAGGAGCAGGAGCAGGAGCAGGATGGGCCGCCCCAGCAGAGCCCTCTTGTTCACGGAGCAAGGAATGGGAACAAGTTTCCTCTCTTCCACCTTCCTCCTCTCTCTCTGTCCATGCACCAAAACGTAAAACCAGTGAGCAGACCTTTAAAGAGTAGAAGTGCAGTCTGAGGTATCTTCAGATGCAAAAGCAGGCAAATAAGTAGCAAAGGAATGAAATTTCATTGCAACGTGTTTTATGGGATTTTTTTTTTCCCCCCCCCTTCTCCCCCCTCCCAGTCTTACACAGAACCAAAATGTAAATTACTTTCTGGTCCTAATTGGATTTAATTATTTCTTTAGGAGAGGATGGGTGGGAGGGGGTGGGAATGGCACACAGCTGTCCTAACAAAACAAAGGAGCCAGAAAAACCTCACTTTCCCCCATGTTGGCTGATAAACGGTGCAGAGGATCTTAGTGCTGGCAAGCAAATGGAGCGCTGTGTGGACCTGGGGAAGGGGTAAGAGCTGTCTGCAGCCAGGAGCATCGGAAGAAGGCCACGCTAGCTGTTATGAAGTGCACCTTAAATGGTGATTTGTGGTTTCCTATTAATTCCTGTAACTGCCCTGTTTTTTAGAGCACCCAGCCTGGCCCTTCCCTTGACCTAAATTGCCTTGCCCGGATGGCATGGCCCCGTGGCAAGACCCAACCTCAATACTGGGCTGTGAATTCCACCATCGCCGCTCGCCTGGGAAGCACCGGCCTTCCCGGAGCGCTGGTGGGAGGGACAGGGAGTGGATTTGGGTCCCCGGCACTCGGTGGGGTGTTCCCTGTGCGATCGGGGTCTCCCAGCCGGCAAGGGAGCTGGCTGTGCCCCCCGACCGGGCTCTGGGGCACTTGGGCGATGGCAGCGAGGTCCGGGCGAGCTGATGTTACTTTGTAGGTTGATGGCACGTTGCACCCGCGGATCTCAAAGCGCTTTACAAGCTTTAATGAATGTGACCACTAACATGATTTATAGTGTGATTCATTATTGGCATTGGAGGGACTGTATTCTTATTTTGTCATTTGCTCTTAAAATTAATACACTCCATGCTGGCTATAAAAGTGTATTTGCATTTAATTGCAAGTCAGAATGAATTAGTGGATATGATTTAAACCCGAACTCACTCCTTAAAAAGAAGTCTTCAGGGGGGAAGGAAAAATCAAGCTCCGTGCTGGATTTCTTTGGTGGACGTAGGGATGGAGAGAGGAGTCGGGGAGGGGAGGGAGCAGGCAGGGGCTCCGCTCCTTGGTTGTGGTTTTTTTTTTTTAATTCTTGAGGTTGCTTTCAGCGAGAAATGCCTTTGCCAGGAGGGGCTTAGGCAAAGTGGTCAAGCACATCTGCTCCTGGGAAGGTAGGGAAGAAAAGAGGTTACTAGTAATAGGGCAGCAGCACAAAGGGAAAATTGTACACTGGAAGCATTAGTCTCCTCCGCGGTGGTGTGGCCAGACTGGTTTAGCAGACAGGATGATAGATTGCTTTGTCAAGGGTCCCAGGGTGTGCCCTGAACTTGAAGCACTTTGTTTATCTTGAATAGAAAGGGAAAAGCACAGACATAATCGATGTCTAGTTTTTTAGGAGGGAGGAAGAGGTAGAGGAGGGAGC